ACTCAACAGTCGAGTCAATTTAGCCAATTCCCTGAAGTTAATCAAGAAGATGTGGACTTCATAGGGTCGATGCTGATTATTCTAAGAGTTTTGGGTATAACAAGTCTGCTAAGTACAAACATACATAGGTACATACAGGTTTAATTGTGCTCGCTTTCGCCATCCATGATATAAATGCCCGCAACGAATATTTATGTTAATGCATTAATGTTAAATCGCCGAATTCCTGCACAACATGGCTAATTGCTTCGTTAATTGCCCGAAGCATTGCATTGCCAACATTGTTGCACCTGTCGTGCGCGTGGGAGTTGCAGAAGAAGCTTCGGGAAAGTGAAAGAAATAATAATTTACTGCATTTCATTTTGATTTTTAATTTATTATTATTTCGATTTCGGCATGATTTTTGCAAAAAATTTCACTCGGTTGCTTTGGGTGATCGAGCAACAGTTCCCTTTAACAACAAATAAAGTTTAATAAATTTAAAAATGCAAGTGATCCAGGTTAAATTGGTTGAACTTTTTCAATACAGTCAGAACTTTTGTTACTAGAGTTAAAATTAAATTATCTAAGTCTCTTTAATAATAATATTTAATGTTTAAACTCAAGATCAATTATTGTCTTAAATTTATAGCTGGGAAAATATAGGTGTATTAAGTTATCCTATAACTTTCTAGACTTGAAGAAAATGAAATGAAAATTCGATTTATTCACGTTCCACAGTTATATATTTATGTATATGAGCATATATTTATAGTCCTCTGCCTTGGGGCAATTGCTCAATAAACTAGTTGAACTGTGCAGGGCAAAAAAACAACAACAAAAATAATAATAATACAAATAATGAAAAAAGTTTTCATTGAGTCATTCAGTTTGGTCAGACAGACGGAGAAACGCCATTGGGTGTGATTGCAGGATGGAGAGCAGGGAGGCGGGCGCAGCTTCCCAGACTGAAAGGTGCAAAGCAATTGTGCTTGTTGTAAGTACAGATGTGTTCGCAATAATAGCATTAACCTTTGATTTAGTAATAAACAAATTTAAGATTTTTCCTAATTTCAAAATTTAATCTTTATTGAAAAGATGTTGAAAGTTGCTAAGATGTCTCAAGAGTTCTTTATTATTGTTTGTTTTTGTTGCTTGGTATATAGAGTTTTACTTTAAATTCTTATGGGCTTAAGCTAATTTATTGAAGATTCTTTTATCAACTATTTTATTATTAGTGGTATAAGGACATAAACACCTTTCGTCATCAAACATTTTCTTGCTCATACTCTCATCTTGGGCACAACTGTACCCAACATTTAGCCGAGTGAGTGAGACGGACAAGAGCAGACACTCTTGCTCTCCCTCTCGCACCACCTCTGGCTGTCTCTGCCTGTCTCCGCTCGTCGCTTTAGTTTCTTCGGTTGCTTTCTTGACTTGTTTATTGCGGCGTCAGCTTTTGGCGAGACTTTATTTTTTGCTGTATCCATCCATCCATCCATCCATCCAGTTGCAGCTGTGTTCGTGCTGTTGCTGTTGTTGCTGTCGCATCTGATTAGCGCCAAGTTAAGCTGGCTGGCAATGAAAGAAATGTGGGCAAAAAAAATAAAAAGTAGCAAAAACCGCACGCCTCACGTGGGTGAGAGATCTGCTGACGCGGAGGCAGTAGCTACCAAAGTCTTCAAAGCAAAACAGATTCATCTGTAGAAAATATATCTTGAGAGAAACAGGTTAAAACAAAAGAAAGGATTCAAAATTAGAATTTTGCATTAAATCCTTGAACCCTAAAGATACATATTATTATACCCTTGCAGGGTATTTTAATTTAAGTCAAAAGCTTAAAACTATGTGAAGGAGTCATTTCCGACCCTATAAATCATATATATTCTTGATCAGCATGAATAGCCGAGTCGATCTAGCCATCTCAGGGGGAACATTTTTTTAAAATTTTTTCAATATTTTTAAGGGGTTACATCGTTAAAATGTTCAAAAATTGGCAAAAAATTTTATTTTTTTAGATTTTGAATTGAGTATGCAGATTTATTAAGCTAATAAAAACTAACATAGGAACGCTTTCCGAATCAGTATTAATGCATTTTTGGCTAAGTTATGAGATTTTTAAATTTTGATTTGGGTAAATAAAAATATCGATTCCAAGAATTCAAATTTTTAAGCTTAGTTAGTTTATTTACGTGCATCAAGTTGATTTTGTTTTACATTTATATATTCTAATATTAATATTAGCCAATAACAATTCTTCTGGATTCTGTAATCCTCTAAAAATAAATTTCTGTTTATTTCATGAACCATATTTTTTTGCAAAGAAGCAGCTCATAATGAAATGCGCATAAATTAAGCTCATTTTGTTACAATATAACTTTTGGCTTGTTCCGAAAAACAGGGCTAAAAAGCAGCCTCTGTTGGCTAAGTCTGAGAGGCTCAGTCGCAGTCGCTGTCAGCGTCTTGCATTTAAGGTTAAAGCAACATATTTGCATGGTGAAGTAACTGGGGCAGAAAGAGACAGTTTATAGTGGAATATATAAGCACTATACAATGATTGAATTTACAGTGGATATTGTCTAGTAGTATTTAGTATTAGTAGTATTATTTCGAATTTGTTCCATAAAGATATATTAAAGTTTTTACAGAATGAAGCTTTACTCTTAAGAATTATTAGTTTTATTTTTAGTATAACATTTAAATTCTGAACAATTTTACAGCCAGTTTGCCCTTTTAATTTCAAATAATTATTTTCTATTTTCTTCCTTAAAAAAATTTCGATTATTTATTTAATATGAAATGAAATGAAAATTTTGAAACAACAACATCTCAATTCTAAAACATTTTACAGACAGTGTGAACTGACATTTTAAATATGTCATTTAATTTAATTAATTTAATATTATATTCCATAAGACAACCCCCACTGTTTTTGTTTTAGCGAAATCGAAAACATCGCCGGTTGTCCACAATGTGGGTTGCAGAAACTAAAACCTAAAAGTGGTTTTTAATGAAAATTTCTATATATGTTATGTATTATATGCTGGTTTCGTGTGCACAATTCGGTGTCTGTGTGTGTTTGTGTGCAATGTATTTATGAATGTATGTAGGCCCACATAGAAGCACACCCACTTCCCACTTCCATTACCACTTCCATGCCCATTCCAAATCCCGTTCACAGTCCCATTCCCGTTCCCAATTCCATTCCACGACGAAGTAGTGCTAAGTTATTCTGTTGTCTTCTGCTTTTCGCAGGGTTGGCCCGTTGCGGTCTATTGCCATCAGCTGGGCGTTCTACTATTGTGTGTGTATGGTGTGCAGCGACAATTAAACACAAAAAAAAAACAAGAATTTGCTGCAGGAACCGACTTTCGGAACACTCTAACATATCCTTTATGGCCTTCCCAGGGGTACATTAGGGACTTTACCGGCTCCAAACTTGACATGATCCTTTGAAATTGTATGATACATGGATTTGCAACATTTCACATCATTATCTTTTATGGTCACAGAGTTATGACAGTGTGATCTAAGGCATCCGTCTTTTATGAAAAAGTTGAGAAGAAAGCAAATATAACCACCTTTTAAGATATATATATTTGCATATTTAAAATATATTCCCTCAAAAAGAGGTATAACATTTTGCACAATAAAAAATTCAAGTAAAGATGCCCCTGACTCTGCCTCTAATTACACAAATTGAAAAGCGCACACGTGAGCTTGGCTACTTTTTATGCTCCTAGTTTTTTTCTTTTTTTACACATGTGGGTGTGTACACTTTGCACACGTGTGGCCACGCCCTGATCCCCGCCAGAGATACTTGTCCGCCTTATTTTGGTATTCCGCCGGAATCCGGATTGAGCCGGGCGCAAAGCGGAAAGCATTGCGTGAGGCCCCAAATCCGGGCGGCACTCTACATAATGCCCTTCCTTGGGGGTACTTAGGGGTCTCCATCAGATCGTGCCAAGTAGATAGTTATAGCCAAAAACCCGGTCCTTTTCCTAGAGGGTGTGACATGCAAGAAATTCATTTGGCCAACATTTAAATACAGCTTAAGTACCCCAAGTTAACTGCGAAATAAAATTTTAATAGCTTTATATCTCGGAAATAAGGAAGTTTATCTGGAAGTTATAATCACTCATTCCATAAAGTACAATTTGCAGTAATATTATTAAAAGTTTCAAGTACTTGAGGCATATTTGAGGTTTTAAATTGCAAATCTCAATGCAATCTGTTAATGAACTTGAGAGAACTTTTCTAAAACCGGTTGTGGTTGCATATAATAATAAATGATATATGTACAAACGTTCTGGATTGGTTAAAGATTATAATACATATTTGCATTTAACTGGAGATTACATTTACACAGTTACATGGGTAGAATAACAACTGAACAAGTTTGATAAAATTGAATAATGAGTATAAATAGCAATCTTACTAATTCGTTGAGTAATCCCTCTGCTATTGTGAGTAAATGAACGAAAAGAGTTGTTTATTAAACTGAACTTTTAATTTTTAACTTCTTTACTTCACTCATTTTTATTCACTTTGCTCCGTTTTGCTTTGTTTGTATATGAACAATAAGTAAATGAGTAACTTGACAATGAAAAAGTGAACAAGTGAACAATAAAATACGTACAAAAAAATTAGTACATGTTCACCTAAGTGAACCCGCTTAAGAATTCGATTTGATTATACTTTAAGGTACTAATTTACTAATAGTTTTGTTTTCTTCGTATAAGTTTTGTGATTGTAAAGTGAAAAAGCAAGCAATATAAATAATTTGATTTTTCTGAAAAGAATACTAGAAAAAGTGAAAATGTTCATCCAAGTAAGTACTATTTTCTATTTACTAGTGTTTGCAAAAAAGTGTTGCTCTCAAATTAAAATAAATAGTTAATCTAGTAATCATTTAAAATTCGTTCTGAAAATATTTTGTCGAGCAATCGAGGTGAAATCAACGCAAAATAGAAATTCCGACTTTCAGTGCAGCAAAAAAAAAGGAAAAAAAAGAACCCAAGATGTCAGAGAGCGATAAACCTGGAAAGAACGATTCCCCAAATCCCATGGTCATGTTCATGGCAGAGTTCAAGCACAAGGATGTGCATCGACGCCTCAACTCCGTCAAGAAGCTCTCCGAAACGGCCCTGGCCTTGGGCACGGAGCGTACTCGTTCCGAGCTATTACCCTTCATCGCCATGAGGTTCCACGATTCGGAGGTGGTGATGATGTCTCTGGCCGAAGAACTGGGTCATTTTACCAGCCTTGTGGGTGGACCCACCTTTGCCATGCACTTGCTACCGCCACTGGAGTATCTGGCCACCGCCCAGGAGACGGTGGTGCGTGGCCAGGCCATTGAATCGCTGCGCAGTGTGGTCGCTGAGCACAGTGTCCAGGATCTGGAGTTTCATGTGGTGCCGATGCTTTTGCGTCTCGCCACGGGTGACTGGTCCACTTCGCGGAGCTTGGCCTGTAGCCTATTTGCGATCTGCTACAGTCGGACCACTAAGCCCTTGATAAGGGCAGAGCTGCGCACCGAATTCCGGAAGCTTTGCCAGGACCCGCTACCGATGGTGCGACGAGCGGCGGCCAGTCAGCTGGCTGAGTTCGCCAAGGTCGTGGAGGTGGAATACCTCAGGACGGATATAGTCCAAAACTTTGTGCTGCTGGCCCATGATAATCAAGACTCTGTTTGCCTTCTGATCGTGGAGGCTGCCGTCAGCATTGCCCGTCTATTGTCACAAAACGAACTCGAGGTCCTCATTTTTCCCACAGTAAGACAGTTCACTTGTGGTGTGTCGTGGCGTGTACGTTATACTATGGCTCAGCACATGGCGGACATGGAGAAGGCCATGGGACCGGCGATGACGAGAAAGCATCTGGTGCCCGCGTTTCAGTCCCTCCTCAAGGACTCGGAGGTTGAGGTACGCGCTGCGGCGACCAGCACCTTGCAGAGCTTCTGTGCCCAGCTGCACAAGGACGATCAGGAGCAGATCATACTGGAGTCATTTTTGCCCTATATACGTGATCTTGTGTTGGATGAGAATCCCCATATCAAGTCGACACTGGCCACAGTCATCATGTGCCTGAGTCCCATCCTGGGCGCTTATCATACCCGGGAGCAATTGCTGCCATTGATACTCACTCTGGTCAAGGACGAGTGTCCATCGGTGCGGATGAATATTCTCGCCAATTTGGATTGCACCACCGATGTCATTGGCATCCAACAGATGTCGGAGTCGATGCTGCCCGCCCTTATTGTGCTCGCCAGGGACACCACTTGGAGGGTGAGACTGAGCGTCATCAGGTACATGCCCGCTTTGGCCAGGGAGAGGGGTCAGGTGTTCTTTGACCAGAATCTGCGCGATATCTCCATGGGATGGCTTAATGATTGTGTGTATGCCATACGTGAGGCTGGTGTTTGGAATATGAAGAAGATAGTGGATATATTTGGAGCTCCCTGGGCTGTGCAATCCATCGTTCCCAAGATCCTGACTATGGCCGGCAATGGGAGCTATTTCTATCGAATGACCTGCCTGTTCTGCGTGAAGGCTTTAGCTGAGGTTTGCGGTATGGATATTATCACGAATCTAATGCTACCAACTGTTCTTCAACTTGCTGATGATCCCGTGGCCAATGTTCGTTTTAATGTGGCCAAAACTCTGCAGAAGATTGCACCCATCTTGGATGCCTGTGTCATCGTTGACAAGGTGAAGCCCACTCTTGACAAACTGAAGGGGGACAAGGATTCGGATGTCAAGTATTTTGCTGCAGAGGCCATTCTCGCTATAGGAGGAGTGTAATCTTAAACTTCTTGCAAGTTTTTTGTATTACTTTAAAACACTAAACACTTGACTGAAGAATGGAAAATTGGAGCGGATTCCAGGATGAAGGTCCATTAAATTGAAGGATGCTAGAGGATGGGACTCGTCATTGTCCTTCAGAAGTCGGGAGCAACTATAAATACTATTGTACATACCACAAACTATACATAGTATAATATAACTATACATGTTGTAATTATATATGCTACAATTGTACCTACTTCAACTATACATACTGCAATTGTCACCTATATATGTATTACAACTATATTATTTACACAGCTAAACTTTCATATACTTATATCATATATTAATAAACAACACACATACACAAAATTAGTTTCATTTTCATCCAAAAGAAACAAAATTAAAAAAGTAAAAGGTTTCATAAACTTGGCTAATTAACCTTGGCTAATTATCAACTTTATGAAATTTATGAAAGAAATAAAATTAACAGCGCGAAAATCAAAAGAAAATGTTGACAAATGAAGTAGAATTAGCTCTAAACATGTTGCGCAACACAAAAATTAAAAGAAATTGTGGCTAGGAACATGTTGAGCAACACGCATTAATGCTGCAAACACAAATGTAAATGTTGCAGAAGTTCCACATACTCAGAGACTTAATTGTCTTATAACTCTCAAGTCTATTAACCGATTTAAACTCACAGAATCTCTACTAAAATATTCTACTTAAACCAAAAATGAAGTATTATGTCTTAGTTACATTGTTTTATGGTTTCTAAGGGCATAAGAAATTTTGAAAACAAACTTTATAAATGTTGTCAACAAATTTGCTTACTCTAGGTCTTGAAGACTCTGAAAACTATAGTTTTATACTTACCGACCTACCGGCTAAGATCTATTCGGCTATAGATGCTGATCAAGAATATATAATTTGTATTATACAAACTTGTGACTAAAAACTTAATACAAGGCTACAAAAATTAAAACAAAAATTTAATGGTAAACTCTTTAAGTTAGTCATCATAGAATGGCATAAAAAACCAAGAATCATTAGTAAAATATGTTCTATTGATATGTGTTATCTAAAGAGTGTACCTTGGTAGATTACCAACTCTGGTGGGGTTACTTTTCACACCAATAAGTCTAAAAAGGAAGTTACTTTTTTGGTCAAATATATAAAACAATGTGTAGTCATATCCCGCATGATTTAGTCTCCAGTTATTGGGATTTGCATTATCATATATACCCTGCAACTTGTTGCACCATTATCTTTAAGCCCTTATCCTCTCTCTCTAAATGCGGGTTTTTGGTTCTGCTTGATTGGAAAACAATTCCATAGGCGCCCTTACTTGGTTATCAGAAACCCATAAATAGCATTATACTGACGGACACGTAGGCCCATTTACCCATTACTATTTCCCAACAGCCAATAAATTATAATGAAATAGTTGTGTGAGTAAAAATGTGTATGCGATTAACTAACTGGCTGATAAGAGCGATATGGAATATGTATATAACTTATTTGCCAAGTCAAGTAGTTGTGACTCAGTTCTAAAATCTCAATTGAGATCGTAATGATAGAAATATGAGTGAAAAGTTGATATTTTAAAAAAATACATTTCGGACAGTGAGTCACTGTTGGATCTTTATAAGATTAAAATTATTTCTTTAAGAGATTAATTAAAGATCAGCGTAAGGTTTTAAGTGATCAAATGAATTGTATCTTTAAATTTCCCAGATTAGCTAGAAATATTTCTAATAAATCGAATTATTGTTTTTATTGATTTAAAATTCTTAGCAAGTCTAACAATAAAATATTAAAACGATGTCATTTGCATTTAAAGCTGTGAGTCACTCATAAACGTGTTAGTGAAATTCCACTGTAATTCGAGTGATTCCGAGTTTTTTGAATGAATCATTGGTACACTTATTCGTTGGGGGGGTTACTTTGCATATAAAGACCGTATCCGAGGGATCAACAAAAACAATATGTGAGAGAAGAAAAAAATATAAATAAAAAAACCCTCTTCGATAGCGAGCCACTAAAGAAAACAACAATAGCTAAAGTTAAACGAGTTGAACGGTAAAGCCACAAAATACGAAGTGGGGGAAAAACAAATAACAACGAAAAAATACAAATACAAACAATAATATAAACCAAATCCCGCTGCGGACGAAAAAATTATAAATAATTGAGCTGGGAGAACCGTTTAGCATAAAAACCTACAAGCACAGGCATCGTAATGATGATGATAATAATAATAATAATGGCCATGATCATTGGAAACCGTTTGGCGATCGCTTCGAAAGTCAGAGGTCTTCCAAACAGAACACAACAAACAAACACCTGTAGAACAGCGAGAAGAATTAGGCAAAGAACAAGCACAATTCTACGGGGCAAGCTTCTTCGACGCTGCTTATTGTTATACCCTAACCTTTAGTAGATATTATAGTTAGCAAGAGAAGTTTGTAACACTTTACAGAGTATTACGATCCCATAGGAATAATCCTAGTTAAATAGTAATACACCGAATATTTAATGCCTTTTTGAAGTTAGGGACAGATTTTGAACTGAAAGGGTATAGGAACTTCGGTCTCCCGTACATAGCGTCGTTTATTGTTGACAGTTACGTTTGAAATCGGAATGAGAATGGAATGGAGAAGAAGAAGATAACAGAAGCAAAGGCAGAAGCTGGAGCATAGATTAAAAAAAAAAGAAAACAACAACAATAACAAAACTTGTTTCCCAGCAACGGAAGAAGCAAGCTGCAAAAAAAAGTCAAGAACACTCAAGGGTAAAAAATAGTAAGAAATTATTTAAAACAAGCTGTTAAAGAAAAGATTGAAACCTTCTAGAAAAGTAAATTTAAACATTATCTACGTATAATTTTAATACTTACAAGTAAAATATATACTTAAAGTACAATTTTAATTAATAGATTTTAATATAGATTTTTATAGGAATTGATAGCTTTTAAGCTCTTTTTTTTTTGTGTTTCCTTGCTAATTACTCCTTTCTTTGGTTTTATCAATTATCAATTTTGCCCCTAACCAACCACCCCCAACTGTCCCGGACAATATTCCAGATGATAAGTAGAAGTAGGAGAAACGGTTCATAGCCTGGAAATGGAGACACACATACGGACCGTAAAAAAAAGAATTCTTTTTTGTTTTTGTCTTCAGCTGCCGCTTGTTGTGCTTAATGAAAGTTAACGGAAGAATTTCAAATAGATCTCTGGAAATATCTCCAGAGCGCCTGCTATTTTCTGATGGCATTTGTTATTCGACTTTTTTTCTACTCTTGCAGGGTATTATAATTTCAGTAAGAAGTTCGCAACGCAGTAAAGGGGTCATTTCCGACCATATAATATATACATATATTCTTGATCAGCATCAACAGCCGAGTCGATCTAGCCATGTCCGTCCGTCTGACCATTTCTTCGAAAACTAGTTCCTCAGTTTTGAAAGTATCTCAATGAAGCTTTGCAGTTAGTCTTCTATATACAATCTTTTATTATTAAAGGATTTCGATTTTAGGTTTATGAAAATAGGAATACTATATAATACTATGTAATATGAGCAGTTAGTAATTATGATCTGTAAGTATCTATGGCCAGTAAGTATTTATGACCAGTAAGTATCTATGACCAGTAAGTATCTCTGAACAGTGAGTATCTATGACCAGTAAGTAACTCTGAACAATAAGTATCTATCACCAGTAAGTAACTATGATCAGTAAGTATCTATGACCAGTAAGTATCTCTGAACAGTAAGTTTCTATGACCAGTAAGTAACTCTGAACAATAAGTATCTATCACTAGCAAGTAACTATGATCAGTAAATATTTATGACCAGTAAGTATCAATGACCAGTAAGTATCTATAAGCAGTAAGTAACTATGATCTGTAAGTATCTATGGCCAGTAAGTATCTATGACCAGTAAGTATCTATGACCAGTAAGTAACTCTGAACAATAAGTATCTATCACCAGTAAGTAACTATGCTCTGTAAATATTTATGACCAGTAAGTATCTATGAGCAGTAAGTAACTCTGAACATTAAGTATCTATGACAAGTAAGTAACTATAATCAGTAAGTATCTATGACTAGTAAGTATGTATGTATGATCAGTAACTAACTTTGAACACTAATAAACAATGACTTGCAACTTTTGTAACACAACACATGTCTGAGACTTGGTCAGTAGAAGTCACTTCGTTCCGGGGATGTTAGAACCAGTTGGGAATCATAAGCACAGATGTGCGAGATGTGTTTTGGCACACAATTCAAGCTATTTGAATGAAACTATGGAGTTATTCTTTTATATAATTTTACTAGCATATAAGTCGAAGCATGGCGAATCGGTGGACTATATATATATATATATACATATATATAGATGCCATAGGAACAATCGGAAAATTTTAAGAAAAAAATTATAACTTTCCCAGTGCTCATTTTTGATTTTGACATAAATATATATAATTTATATTGTGTTAGTTCCTAGTGATTGAAGTTCCATTTGCAAGGGTATACAATTTTCGGCATGCCGAAGTTAGCTTCCTTTCTTGCTAAATATTATTTATATTTTTTTTTGTTTTTTTTTGGAGGGGGCTTTTCACTTTCGCAATGTGTATCATAAAACGCGATACACGAGAGTCGAGCGTCTTTCGTGCGTACAAATGATATCGAAATAAATTCGCAAAATACGTAAAAAAAAGCAGCAAAGCAACGTGCACAGTATACAATGTCAACGTTTTTGGAATTTTCTTATTTTCTTTTTTTTTTGTAATGTAATTTCGTATAATTTATTTGTTTTATACACACATTTTTGAGTGTTTTTGGGTTCGCACAATTTTCAAGCTCTCCACAGCAAGCACACACACATACACACACGCACCCAAATTGAAGCCATTGACATTGAGCTTGTCTCCAAGTCTCCAAGACAGGGGCGGAGTTCAGGGAAATTTTAAGAGGTTTAAAAACTAGGCCAAACTTATGGGAAAAATAATA